AACCCGGCTCCTTCTTATCCCATGTTTTGGTAATCCTGTTGATTTTATCTCTACCCCATCCCCCCAAGAAGTTGGAGCATACGAAAAATATATATACATATACATACGATGAATGGCATCGATATTGATGGACGAACTGTCGTGTCTCATTAACAGGCCACGTGATATATTTGCTAGATTAGCACCGCGATCAGATTAGGATTGCGCGCCGATAACGAATTCTGAATATGGGGACGTGGTGATAGGCGCAGGGGCTGCTTCGCATGCACCAGCCACCATCGCCCGATCCTACATCAGATTTTTTGACTGTCTTGACATTGGACTCTGGTGGGTACGGAAGGAGAGGGTGGGGTAGATGGGTCGGAAGTCCGCCACCACCTAAAACCAGTTTACGCGCAAGTCACCATCCCTGCACCACCATGTTGTGGAATATACTGTGAATATCGTCGAGATCGACGGTCGGACTGCCCTGTATATGTGCGTGTGTCAAGATGGAGGCCTGGAAGGTTGTGGAGGGCGTGGGGTAGATGGTTTGCAGGTTATCTTTCACTTTACCACAGAACAGGTCACCGTACCTACAACATCCCTTTATGGAGCACACAGTAGCCATCGTCAAACTCGACGGTCGTACTGTCCTGTGTCCGGGGGCAGCTCGTGATGCAGCGCACGCAGACCAGCATATAATTCGGGGTAAAGGGTAAAAAAGTTAACTAGCTTTAATCGCTGTTCTCATCCGCCACAACGATCTTTTTTATCTACAAAATACGTATTCGGGAACAGGAACTACCCAACTAACCTCAAGTACATTTGCGTATGAGCGCAAGTTTGATGTTGATTTTGATTTTCAAGCTCTTTGTGCTTTCGAGGTTTTTAGTCTCTAACTTAATGTAGCAGACACGTCAACTCAAAAACTTGACAGGGGAACTGCTTATTATCCTACCTTCGGACATATCTATTCCGAGTAGGACGAATCCTGGGTTTTTGACATCATATTGAACAGCGGATTATATCACGCTCTGGAGGCCACCCCTACAATCAACTAACACTGCTTATTGTTGACTCTGATTTCAACACTGGAGGGACACCTTGCAACAAATTTCCAGTCGTTTTACATTAAAAATTCAGACTGTTAAAAAATATTGTGAGAGCACTATCATAGAGTCACCAGTGGCATGGGCAACTGAAAAGGTGTATCATTCCACCTCCCCAAGAGGGAAAAATGTTCATCGCTTGCTGGATTTGAACCTCTGACTTCATCCCAAAATGTAGGGCGTCTTAGCAGCCCACATCATGTAGGTCAAGTCGCTAATATATGCTCTAAAGGGTTAGCCCGGCTAACTTACATAAACCGCGTCGAAAAAGTCCTCTCAGCAACAGCACAAGCGCTTTCGAAAATCCCAGGGCCCCGTCCTATAAAAACGGGCATTCTTCCACTAACCGCATTAGAAATGAACACCAGCGAGGCAACTGCGCTTACGCGTGTCCACTTCAATGGATGCCCAGAGCTTCCCTCGAGAATAAGGTGTTTAGACAGAGGCCTCGACCTTCCCTCTAAGATAATAGTATTGCTCATAACGCGCAACAAAATCACGCTTCCAGGTGCGGCACATGCAAAGAAAACAGAAATGGTTGATAAATTAGATTACACATACATGGAAGGAAGTAATAGCGTCGCTGATAACAACTCGATGCCGAACAAGGAGAGACAGAGACCAAAATCCTTGGAGCAAACTCCAGAATAGTGAAGAGTATAGTCTAAAGGGTGGTAAACTCAGATGAGTACAGCGACATCATGTACCCTTGTATGTTGCACGATCCTACACTCTAGCAATACCAAACGCAAACACATACGTGAGGAGAAGGCGACTCACATGCGCTCTGCTATAGGCCAACGAACGTATTGACAGGAGTTAAGGCTAAGAAGATTGACCCTAACAGCTACGATCTTCCAGGTCAGTGGTTCCTTTTGGTGAAGACAGAAGATGGTAGGAAAACCAAATTGTTAGGAATAGGGTATTCTGCAAAAAGATATAGGAATAGATGGAAAGAGTTTTGACTCTCGGATGACCGCTGTCCGGCTGCCAGGGCGTCACTTCTGGAGTGAAGAGGGCATCAGGCATCGCCGCAGTGTCGGTGCATGCTTTGTTACGGCAGCCAAAGGCGCGGCCGATGTCTCGATTAGCGTGGGTGATTTCAAGTCATCTGGCATCGATTTAGAAAGTGTTGGTGTAAAGGCCGCAGCAGCACCATTCAGTTATCAACTATAACATTGCATTACATTGTCCTTGTCGGTAATACTATCTGCCTATTACATTTATATCTGGACTAATATCTTCTCTCTCACATAGACTTCGGAACCCAACTGTGAGAAGGCCAAAAATCAAACTGTCTAAGTCACCTTAAGTCACTTTATTAAGGGAAGAAGGCTTTCGCCCTTAATCTCTCTGTTCATATCCAAAAAATGCAAACAAGTTCAACATTTACAATAGTACATAATACAAATGTAGGCTTAGCATCAGCGATAGGTGTGAGCTAGTTGCAAACTGCTGCTACTGACACTATGCTCATTATATCTGGCACAGTTTTTCACCAAGTGAGAACTAACTTTGCGTTTAAAAGTGTCAACAGTATCTGAGAGGATAACCTCGTCAGGAAATCCGTTCCACGCTCCGACGACCCTCTGCGAGAAGGTCGTCCATATGGGCCGGCTTCCTCTGCAGTTTAAAGAGATGATCCATTCGAGCCAATTCGAAAAATTCATCAAATTCTGTGGCGCATTCACGGTCTCTGACAATTCGGTTGGTTTAGATGAGGTCACCGTGGAGTTGCCGGTAATTCAAAGGAAAAAAAACAAGTTCAGTCAATCAGTCTTCATAAAGTAGGTTACCAAGATTCTTGATCATCTTCGTAGCTCTCACATGCACTCGTTCCAGGTGCAGATAAACCTCCTTAAACCAAGGAAGCCAAACCTGGACAGCATACGCCCGCCCTCCGTGGGCCAATCGGACCATAAAATGGACCATAAAGAAGACACAGTGGCAGTGGTTAACGTTCGTGAATCTTTGAGATCTAATATCACTTGCCGAATATAGGGCGCAACGAAGTGAATGCCCTAAAGAAATATGCATTTCATCGACTAACAACATGAACCACAATATGTCCCAAGAAATTGTATGGGTGCAGTCACAGTTAAAGGAAGGATCGGGATGAAACTGCAACTCTAAGTCATTGCTTCGGAAATCTATTAACGGAAGGACCGCGAAAAGTACAGTTGCTGAACGAGTTTTTTTTAAATCAATGTTTGAGGTGGAATCCACTGATGACAATACGAATGATGTACATGGCGAAGAGATGGATGAATGATGAGCT